CCTATAAATAAAATGCATACAAAATTTAATAAGATTCCACATAAAAAAGATTGTTTCTTCCTATGGAACTAAACTTTACAGACTTTAATTTTATTCCTATAATATCTTTCAAAAATTAAAATTCATTCTTTCAAAACACTATTTTGCACACCTGAAACTAATGTAACATTGTGTGTCAATTGTATTCAAATAAAAAATGTTAAGCTCCCAAATTTCACACCACATGGCACCAAAGGGGCTAGGAAGAAGCAGACAGTTTGAATGATTATAAGCTTCTCTAATGTTCTCTGATAGTATTTATTATTATACAGAAACGTACCCGCCATTCAAAATTTACAAATAGTAATATTGTACCGTTTAATTCTTATTCTTTTTTTTTTTTAAGTTTTTTTATTTTGAGAGAGAGAGAGAAAGTGCACGTGAGCAGAGGAAGGGCAGAGAGAGAGAGGGAGAGAGAGAGAATCCCACGCGAGGCTTGAACCCACGAACCATGAGATCATGACCTGAGCTGAAACCAAGAGGTGGACGCTGAACTGACTGAGCCACCCAGGTCTCCAAATTCCTATTCTTCTTTAAAATTAAATATTTCTGTTAAAGTTGCTATTACATTTTTTACTCTTTCCCAGACTCATTCTCCTCCTTCCAGATAAAATCAATATAACAAGTTTAATATGGGTTATTCCAATGTCTGTATATTTCATTATGTATACATATGTATTCATAAATACACAATATTATTTGTGTGTATGGGCTATGCAGTTTAAAAATAACATGTTTTCAAAATCTGGTCACGTTAAGACATAAATGTAATTCATTCATGTTAATTTCTAAATACCCATCAGGGCATTTTGGTTATTTCTAATCTTTAACAATGCAAAAACTGATTCAATAAACATTCTTCTACATGTATCCTTCTACCCACGGGTGAGAAGACATTCCTAGAAATGGAATGATTTGGTTTAAGGGCATTTCCAACTTTACCAGATATTACCTAAATGCTCTCCCAAGGGGTTACAACAATTTGTAATCCTACCCAGCAGTATATGAAGCGTTTGGTATATAAAATCTTCCTGACATTTTTGGTATGTTAAGTATTGCCATTGTTGCCAATCTAATAGGTGTAAAGTATGGTATTAGTGTAGTAGTTATTTTAAAAGTGTGTTGCATGTATGGAAGGACAGAGCCACAGAGCACATACACTGATGATATCAAGAAACAGAGATCTTCCTGCTGGATAAGGGAAAAACATAAATGCTTATGTCTGCACAGATGGGAGGAGAAAAAGAACCCGGTGGTGCTGGATTTGAATTGGAGTCTCAGAGTGAACTTATGAACTAAATATGCACATATACATACATACATACATATTAACCTATCTCTGACAAAATGTATGTATGTGCATGTAAATCGCTGTATACACTGAAAAGAGCCTAGAAATAATGACATCCCAGAGCAATAAAAACAAAACAAAACAAAACAAAAAAACAACACCCTGATTTCTAAATATCACTTCCCAGCAAAGGGAATCAAGGCTCCTTAAAGAAATGTCCAGTTCCAGGTCTGGGGCAAAGATAATAAAAGGTCAATCTTAAACTGTTTGTCAAAAAGCAAGGAAGCAATCAAAGAAATGCAGGGACTTGTTTAAAAAATGAAAGAAAAGAGAGAAAGGAGCTTCCATAAACCATATCTTAAGAAAAACAAAGAAAAAAAGTAAAGGATTATAACACATTAATAGTAACAGAATTCCCAAGCTCACAGTGATATTTTTTAAATGAGGAAAAATAAAGTTTGTCTTTACAGAAAAATGCCAGGTAATAAATACAGAAGCAAAGACAGAATTAGAAAAACCACTATTTAGGGGCACCTGGGTGGCTCAGTCAGTTAAGCGTCTGACTTCGGCTCGGGTCATGATCTCACAGCTTGTGAGTTCGAGCCCCGCATTGGGCTCTGTGCTGACAGCTTGGAGCCTGGAGCCTGCTTCAGATTCTGGGTCTCCCTCTCTCTCTCTCTCTCTGCCCCTCCCCCACTCACACTCTGTCTCTCTCTCTCAAAAAAAAAACATTAAAAAAAATAATAAAAAAAAGAAAAAAAAAAGAAAAACCACTATTTAAAAACTGATTCAGACAAAGATCATAGTGAATGCTAAGACTATCAGATGAAAGGTTCTGGGAACAGGACAGTCACATAATCTCAAAGAGCCACACCACAGATTACTTATTAACTGTAAAGGGAAAATGCGCCTGTACAATTTGCCTTTTCTTGGTGAGGCAGAGTTTCTTTCCACGTTTACTGGCTACTCAAGGGTCCTCGTAATGCTCACACTCTTCACCTGTTTTTCTGTTGGCTCATTTGTGTTTTACTAATTAAGTTGTATAAATTGTTAGATACTTTGGACACTGTAATGCAAACATCTCTACTGAGTCTGTGACCTGTTTGTGTTACACTCTGTGGCAAAATTAATACATCTTTCCATATCCTCAGGATCATAAATACAGCCACCGATATTTTCTTCTGAACAATGGATTCTACTGAGCATGCATTTCTAAGGGGCTAAACAGAGAGCACTGGTATGTAACTGCTGGAAGATACGAGCCACTGGTGCAGCCTCCTTGCAATGTCGTCTTGTGGTTCTAAGAGGTTTTCCAGCTTTTATGGGGAAGCTCCTTTCAACAGCATAAACAATGAATCGTGGCTACTTAAGAAATAAATGACAAAGTTATAGTTTCAGTATATTAAAAAATAAAAAAAGTAGAGAAAAGAATTTGTTATATGCTCTTACATGAGTGAACAAAATTTCATTCCTGAGCTCTTCACAACTTTCATTTGGAGTCCAAGCTTCAGCAAACTGCAGGAAATCCCATTTTTCCTTATCACCTTCCTCAGCCTGAAGTTGTTCCTTCCGACCATTCAGTGTGCTCCCTGTAACTTGTGTCTGTAAGAGGAAAAGGCATGTGAATTTTACAAAAGTTCTCTCATAGCAGACCCTTGCTAAGCTGTAATGTGATTTTGCATTTAAACCACAAGTAATCCATAAGAATAAACTCTTATCATTTCAATCTATCATTGGATTTTAGTAACATAATATTTCAAAATTACAACAGTCAATGATTCCTATGCTTAATGAGGAAAATGTCCAACTACAGAAGTTTTTCTCAAAAAAAATTTTATTATGGTATTTATAAACTTTGAAATTGAACCTACATATGATTGGTCATTTTGAGTATCTAGTCAGTGCTTGAAAAACATGCTCTAATAACTAGTCAAATCCTTTCTGTAAATACCCCTGCAGGCTGGGGAGGAAAAAGACAGGTGAGTGGAAAGAGCAAGCAACATCCTTCCTACCCTTTCTGGAGCCCAGGTACAGGCTGTCTTCTGTCCAAAATTAGCTGGGAACTCAATCCTTGAGTAACAGTTTATTCTTAGCTTACAAAAAGGACTTGAGGTTTGAAAATGTTATGCTTCCTTGCTAGCTCTTCCTCTTCTGGCCTCCAAAATGGTAGATGAAGGCCTTGGAAGGCAGTAGGAAAACTTCATGTCTCTTCCTTATCACAGAGGAGAGGTAAGGTACTACCAATTGAAGCCTTTCTAAACTTGGTCCTTATCACTACCTTACAGTACCTGGATATCCTTTGCCTGAAAACACTACAACTCAGCCTCTTAACTTATGTAGGCTCTGCATAATAATGAGTACAATGGTAACCCTGAATTCAAGCTTTACCTTTCGATTCAACATTCCCCACATAAGGGTGTCTAGGGTCCCATTTGCAACAAGGTAGTGAATATTCACAGAACTGCACTGTCCAATTCGGTGAGCACGGTCTTCTGCTTGTTTTATATGACCAGGGTCCCAATACAACTCAGCAAATACAACATGAGTTGCAGCAGTAAATGTCAAACCCTAAGCAAAATAAAGAAATTGAGATGCAAATAAACTGAGAATGTAACATAGAGCCGTATATAATAAAGTCTTTCTGAACATGTTAAATGAACAAGAAGAGAAAGCTGAAGGACTTAAAAATAAATCAGTCTTTCATTTTAAGCCAAATTAAGAAAATTTAACTCATGAAAGGCAAATGAAGACTGCTTATTGCAAATGGCCAGGTAAACTACAAAAAACACATTTAAAAGGTATTTCAGTAATTTCAAAAGTCAGTTTGATGGATATATATATAAACAAAATCATTTTATCCTCTGATGAGGACTGGATTCACATTACCACTGGAAAATCTAATAAAATGAATTATAAACGAGAATATAATTTCTAACACATGGTATCCATAGCAACTAGGCAGACAGCAATGACTTCCTCTATTCATTTAGTTCAGTGTTGTTCTATAAAGCAAGAAAATCATGTCTCCAGTCACAATGTTCTCTTCCTATGAAATTTCTCCCACATCTCAAAACCCTCGTTTACTGGTTTGTATCTCAGTATGTAACACAACTGAATTTTTTGTGCAATTGCATGTTACATCAGTCTGAAACAGTGTGACATGAATAAGTATTAAGTCTTGTTTTATAATCAATATATGAGAAATAATACAAATATCCTCAAAGAATGTGTCCAAAAATACATGATCTTAAAGTTGAAAGGCTGAGTGAAATGTGAACGGTGCTTATGTTGTTGCCACACAGTAGTAAAGGATGTTATGAGGTTGACAGAAATACCTACCATCTGTTGACAGAATCATCTAATCCACACTGTTGTTCACATGCACTGGAACTTCCATTGGAGAATGACTTTGGCAACTGCTGTGCTGCTATTTTTTGTTACCTTCAAATATTTTTATATCACATAACAATGTCAAACTAGCATTCATTAGATGGGGGCATGAGTTCTCACTAAAGATGTATCACTTTGGAACAGAACTTAGAAGTGATAAAAACATGGTGAACCAAATAGCCATCAAGCTAAACTGTGCTGCTATTTAGGACAGGAAACACCACAAAATGTTAGAGATGATGCTGAAGAATAAGAAGGAGTATTTAAAGAGGGATGGACACTTTTAAGCATCATATGACCATACAAGAATAAAGGGGAAATATGCTGGCAAGACCCACATCCCTCTGAGATACTACTAAACTATAATGGAAGATTCACATGCCCTAAGAACACAGCCCTTTCTACTTTCCTTTATGCCTATGGACATACAAGGATTCAGGTATACAAATTTTGAATTACAGTAGGTCTTCAGGAATAAAGCCTTGAATAAAATACTGGTGCCCTATACAATCTTAATTTCAAAAAGTCTTTTTATCAAGCAGATCCTTCTGTGTGGCTTCCTCCAACCTTTCTTCTCCCATGCTATGAGCACTCCATTTTTAAAGATCTTTGTGAGGATACTCTCTCTGGCTAGAATATTTCAACAGACATAAAACTCAGATGACCAGAAGTTTCATCCAACATGGGGGAAATGCTAAGACACTCCTCCTTTTGGTTAGAACTCCTAGTGAGTTCTGGAACTTCTTCATCGTCATGGAGTTTCTCTGTACAATTTTATAGATGTCAATTAGCTTGCTAAAAGCAGGTCTCTGGCCCTGGTTTAGATTCCACAGTCTAGAGAAGATGCCAGATATGCTCTTTACCAGGTTGGACGCACCTCAATATGCTCAACTCCTTTTCCCTATGTTACGTTTCCTGGCTTAGACATTTACATCAAAATATTGTGGAATGTTAGTAGAAAAAAATGTCCAGAAGGATCTCCCTTACATGGCGTGGTGTGGTCTTCCACAAGAGCCATCTGGTTTTTATTTCTTTGTAACAGAACACCTGATTTTTAGTGTGACTAGACAAAACAAAGGCTACTTTCTCCTGCTTTCCTTGAAGTTAGTTGTAACCATGGGGCTAACTGCAGGTGAATGGGTTGCAGCGTGCCTTTCTCCAGTCAGCTGCCTGGATCACAGGTATGTGGAAGAACTCCAGCAGCTCTCTTAAGTAAGAGATAACCTGCTAGGAGTGGCAGAGCAGAAAGACAGGAGAAGCTTAAGACCTAAGGACTTTGTGGAACCACCATGCAAACCTTGGACTGTCTACGTAAGAGAATAAACTTTGTGTATTTGAGTCATTCTTAATTTGGGTTCTCATTTACTTCTAGCCAAACCCAATCTTAAGGGTCAAACCAGGGACACTCCATAAAAAGTTCTCAGACAGAAGAGTTCTTTTCCCTCAGGCCACCTTGCCTCAGAAGCTCTGGTAAAACCAACTAAGATGTGTGCTATAGGAAATGAAAGGATATTCTATGCAAATTAAAAGTAAGGAAAAAAAAAAGGTCACGGAAAAGTATTACAATCAAATTAGCTATACTCATCTAGGCAATTCTTTCCTTGAAAATTTAGGAAGCTTTGAGTCAAAAGTGTTGAGGTCTCTCTCAAATATTCTCCAAAGTAGAATATTTATTACACTTTTATCTTGATATAAAGCTATAATTATGGTTAATGACCTTTTTATTATCTTAATGACATTTCGTTATCAAATTAACACCTGAAATTTCTTACCTGGCCAGCAGCCTGAATGCTTAGGATAGCCACACGAGTATCAGGATCTTTTTGAAACTGATTAACTAGATGTATTCTTTCTGAAGACGGAACACTTCCATCTATCCTAATGTAGCGTGTCTAGTATCAACAAGGGAGATGGCAACATTAGCACAAACCCCGATGCACCTATCTCATTTTATATAGTTTATACCTGATTTTTATGCTCACATAACAAAACAGAAATGGGTTAAGATGAAAGGTTAGTAAATGTTATATAAGAAGAATCTTAACCAAATTTCTTAATGCTTCTTATAACAATTCCATATTTTTAAATCTTTTAATCTACTTGAGGGTAGGATCTGTGTCTAATTCATCTTCATACCATCAATGCCAAGTGAATGCCATGTATAAAACAGGGCTCCATAAATCATCACTGAACTAATGCCTTCAGTAAAATTCTATGAAAATTCACATGCAAACTTTAAATGACAGATCAGGCTAACTTCAAAGTTACAGGTTCACTAATTCTAAAATAAAAATAAAGCCAGACAGGGGAGAAGGGAGAAAGAGGATTTTACCCCCATTATTAAGGATTCATGAAGAATAGTGCATTTATTTCTGAAGTATTTCAATATTAATTGGGAAAACAGCTTTTTTAGAGTACCATTTGAATTCATTTTTTTCACATTTCTAAATTTAAAAGAAATATGTGATAAGGTCATCTCCATTGAGTTGGGGAACCAAGACACTCACACACATTTTTTAAAAGTAGGGAAACATTAAGTGCTAAATTGAACAGTGCTGTCTTTTAGGGATGATTTGGGCTGGGTAAAGGGGAGCAATCAGTGTGTGTGAGAGTAGTTAAAAATGACTCATTACTCAACTTTCTAAAATTCAGTAGAAGTCCTGAATTTCAAATAGTAGTCTCATTTTATAAGCACTTTTATGGAAAACACAGCTTTAAATAGTCAAGACATATAAATATTCACTTTCACAAGGAAATATTTAAGTTAATCATTAAATAGAATGTATCATATTAACTTTGTATGTCTTCACAAACATATAAATTCATCAGTGATCAATTTAAAATCCAATGAGAGAGATTAAAAGATCTTCTGACAGTCTTTCTAAAGAAAATACACACAGTCAGGCTAGACAGAGTTTGGGAGAAATTCGCCTCCAACCCATGACTACCTATCATTTTTAAATGTTAGTGATGTTAAATGGGATTCTAAACACATCAATAAAGCAGAAGTGGGGAGAAGAGACAGACTGCCATACTTAGAATAGATCCCAGTAATTTTAAGGATTTAAGTTTAATGGAATCAGAATAAGAAAATATTATGAATTTAATTTTATTCCCCAATCATTTAAAAATATTTCTAAGATTAATTAACTCTTTCTCAAAAGGTGTTTTAAAAATACTGTATGGTATTAGGGGCACCTGGGTGGCTCAGTCAGTTAAGTGTCTGACTTAAGCTCAGGCCATGATCTCATGGTTACTGAGTTTGAGCCCCATATCAGGCTCTCTGATGTCAGGGTGAGCCCACTTCAGATCCTCTCTCTCTCTGCCCCTTCCCCGCTTGCACTCTCTCTCAAAAATACATAAACATTAAAAAAAAATACTATATGAGGGGTGCCTGAGTGGCTCAGTTGGTTAAGCGTCTGACTTTGGCTCAGGTCATGATCTTGAGGTTTGACCCCCGTGTGGGCTCGGTGTTGTGTTATCTCAAGCCCAGGCTGCTTCAGATTCTTATCCCACCACTCTCCCTCACCTCACTGTCCCTCTCTCTCTCTCTCCAAAAAATAATTGTGGGGCATGGCCTGGTGGCTCAGTGGAGTTGGCGTCGACTTGTCCCGATCCCACCGCCGTCTCGGTTCATTGAGTTCAAACCCAGTCAGGCTCTGCAGGCTGATGAAACATGGGGAGCCTGGAGCCTTCTCTTTCGATTCTGTGTCCCCTCTCTCTCTGCCCCTCCCCATTCATGCTCTGTCCTCTCTCTGTATAAAAAATAAAAAAAAATTTAAAAAAAATAAATTATTAAAAAGGTAAAAGGAATCAACTCATTGCAAAAAAATACTCTTTTTTCGATGTTGTCGATGGCAGAACACCTTTTCTGTGGCACTTTATTATGTTTATCGCCATGATCTGTCTGTGATGAAACACATGAGTACTTCTTTGATGTGTTAATAAAACTTAGACTTGCCAAATATATATAATGTATTTAGCCTGGTTTAAAAAACATGTTAATTCACTCCATGTCCAAAAATCCTACCTACACGGGCAAGATTAGTTCTTGCACCGCTCATGTAACATCGATAAGCTCACACAATTTGTCGGGAAATTCTTGCAGCAGTTTCTGAGGCATCTCCAAGCCTCAGCATAAAGAGATGACAGATTTAAACTTTCTAATTTCAAAAAATGGCAGGATACTTTGTCTCTGATAAGGTGGGAATTAGGTGAACCCTAAGAAAATGCCAAGGCCAGCTTAAGGTTTGGAGAGCACACCCCAGTACTGTACCTGGGAGCCACACATTCCCCTATTACTAAATCTTCCAGGCAACATACTGTTTAAAGTTTAAAAGAGGAATATGACTTACGGTTGGGCACTAAAACAATTCATTCTCTGTTTCCTCTCAACATCCTGCCCATGTTTCTACTGGAGAGGCAAGGGGTAAATAAGGGCCCACCACCCAGGCCTTTTTTAACTGTCTACATCTCAGTCTCAAATGGTGTATCCAGTAACAATGCTGAAATTCTACACAATATAGGCTATCAGAATCAGCATCATGTTGCAGCAGATATTAGATTAGTGGAAAACTACACTACACAAACTGGAAGAAAAGAAAAAGTTAGGGTGCCTGGGTGGCGCGCCCAGAAGTGTCCGGTTAAAAAAGCGTCCGACGACTTCTAGCCCAGGTCACGATTCATGTGGTCGATGAGGATTCCCAGGAGCCCAAAAGTCATTCGAGGCTCTGGGCTGGAAATGGCTCCAGAAGAGCCTGGGCACTTGTTCGATTCTGTGTCTCTCCCTCTCTCTCCTGCCCCTCCCCTGTTCATTGCTCTTTCTCTCTCTGTTGTCCCAAAATAAATAAGCAGTTGAAAAAAAAATTTTTTTAAAAAGAAAAAAATTTAATAGTGTCCTGGCACCTGTGTGTATATAATATTGGAGTGTAATTTGCAAGAGAAAATCTAATAATATACTGCTCATTTAAGAGAGGGCCAAACCTCAATTACAAATTCCTGATTGATGTTTATTATATGCCAAAATATTATCTCTAAAAAGTATTTCATAGAAAATAACATACTGCTTGTTTTCTATGACTGCTTCTGTGCAAGCTTAGACATGCTTAAATGATGAGCAAACACCAGAAATTTAAGTGAATAGTTCTGAGCATCTTAATATAGTCCTTTACAGCACAGATATTAAAGTTAAACCTCATTAATGTCTTACAAATCTTTTATTTGAAGAAAATCATGTCACCCCTCACTTTCTTTTTTCATAAAAGCAACAAAAACTTTTCAGAATCAGTAAGTTTCAAGACAAGATTAACTGCTTTTGAGGTAGCCTAAGGAAAATATAGGGTCCACATTTAGGGAAAAAGAGAGGGAAAAAAAGAAGAGGGCGAGGGAAAGAATGTCACGTAAGCTCTACAAAGAAAGTAAAAGCTCACAAGGCCAGAATCAAAGGAAATAAAGAAAAAAGGATATGTCATGGAAAAAGGTAGTCAGAGTAAACTATATTAAGAGTTAATTAGTTTAATTTAGAAAGCTCGACCTCAAAAAACTCATACTCCTCATATGGAATAAGTTAAAATGAATGAACAACACTTTTTTTTTTTTTTTTTTTTTTTTAAAGAATACCTATAAGTGTCATCATCGCTTTCCTGGGACTAGGCGTGCAGGGTTAGATTGATTCATTGTTCTTCATGCTCGTGGTAGGTTTAAAGCGAACATTCTAAAATGTAAGATAGGCTAATGGAAATGGATCTAATGAGGATCGCTTATCTCAAAAGCTTGAAAGGTTATGCAGAGGCTAAGTGGGATGAAGGAACAGGAGGGAGGTCAAGAACACAGAAGGACATATGGAGAAAATGTGGGGAGAAAGAGGAGAAAAATCAGGAATCAGATTAAAAGGCACTGGAAACCTGGTGCCAGAATCCGGTTAAGCGTCCGACTTCAACCAGATGCCGATCTGTGGCGGTCCGGGGAGTTCAAACTTGGCGTCAGAGCTCTGGACTGATGGCTCAGAGCCTGGAGCGCCTTTTCGATTCTGTGTCTCCCTTTTTCTCTGCCCCTCCCCGTTCATGCTTTCTCTCTCTGTCCCAAAAATAAATAAACGTTGAAAAAAAAAAAAAAGACTTTTCTCTCTCTCTTTTTTTAAAAGTTTATTTATTTATTTTGAGAGAGAAGACAGTGAGTGAAAGCATGACAGCAGGAGGGAAGGGGAAGTGTGCAGAGAGAAAGCAGATGAGAGAAAATCCCAAGTAGGCTCCATACTGTCAGCAAGGAGCCCGATGTTGGGGCTCAAACATATGAACAGTGAGATCATGACCTGAGCCAAGATCAAGAGATGAGTAACAGACTGAGCCACCCAGGTGCCCCTAAAAAGGCTTTTCTTAGTTAACTTGAGGACAAGTTATCTATTAAGAATGAGTAATCAATGTGAGATGAATTAAATAGGAATCAAATTTAAAGCATCAATTTAATCTAAAACACAAATGTAGTCTCTTAACTATTAAAAGCTAGTTAGATCGCTCAGCCAGTTGGGTGAACAACTCTTGACTTTGGCCCAGGGCATGATCTCACAATTTGTAAGTTCAATCAAGCCTTTCATCTGGCTCTGTGCTGACAAGGCGGAGTCTGCTTGGGATTCTCTCTCTCTCTCTTTGCCCCTCCCCTGCTCAAGCATGTTCTCTCTCTCTCTCTCTCTCTCTCTCTCTCTCTCTCTCTCTCTCTCAAAATAAATAAACTTAAAAAAAAAACTAGTTAGAAATTTTGGGAAAAGAGAGCAGGCTGAACACGTTTAACCTAGACTCCCTCTAAATGCTGTATGTATGTATGTATGTATGTATGTATGTATGTATGTATTATATATTTACTGTTTATTTATTTAGAAATAGACAGAGTATGAGCAGGAGAGGGGCAGAGAGAGAGGGAGTGAGAGAATCCCAAACAGGCCTTGAGCTATCAGTGCAGAGCCTGGACATGAGGCTCGATCTTACGAAGTGCAATATCATAACCTGAGGTGAAATCAAGAGTCTGACGCTCAATCAACTAAGCCACCCAGGCACCCCTCAATGTTGTATTTATTTATTTATTTTTTTTAATTTTTTTTTCAACGTTTTTATTTATTTTTGGGACAGAGAGAGAGCATGAACGGGGGGAGGGGCAGAGAGAGAGGGAGACACAGAATCGGAAACAGGCTCCAGGCTCCGAGCCATCAGCCCAGAGCCTGACGCGGGGCTCGAACTCACGGACCGCGAGATTGTGACCTGGCTGAAGTCGGACGCTTAACCGACTGCGCCACCCAGGCGCCCCTCAATGTTGTATTTAAAAGACAGTAAAGCATACAGAGAACTCAAGAGGAATTAATAGTGACAAAACTTTGGAAATTAGAAAGTAGACAGATGCTTAGTAACTAATTAGCCAACCTGACAGCTCCTAAGGTGGAAGTATGGAAAGTTGACAAGCAAGAGGTTTAGAATAGAGGTAATGTAAAAAAGGCTTAGGAAATGGTGCTAAGGGAAGTGAGGTTGGGGGTGTGGCTACAACAGGAGGATTGGTCAAAATAATATTTGAGGAGTTGATCATGTACCAACACTGATCTAGATATTCTCCTATTCCTATTCCACACAATAGAGTACTTCTCCAACCTACTCTGGCAGAAAGCAAGAGATTTATTTTCTAGAGAGCATAAAACAGAAGGTATATGGATAAAGGAATCCTACAATGATGGTAGGCTATTCTACAAAAATCATAGGGATTAAATAAAAGTTACATAATAAATGTGCAGATCTGCCCTTCTCTCTCAGCCTTCTTATCCTCCCACATCTCCAAAAAGACAAAGAGGTCCATGCCTTCTACACAGGAGAGGAGAATCATATAAATTGATTATATTCTAGGGAATGTGACAAACCAAAAAGAAAAGACTAAAGAGTCTAATATTGAGGGTTCCTCAACAAGACATCCAGTCAGATCATCCGTTATTGAAGGCCATAGTCTATAAGTCATATCCATGTACAGTTTCCAGTCACTGTAACTGGAAGAGATTACATTTGTAAGACAACAGGATGCTCTAAAAATGGAGTGACTAAGAGGGAAAGGGGCGGAAATACTTTTGGAAATTAAAAATCTAACAGTAGGAATTAAAAATTCACTGGTTATGAAGCCAAGAAAATCTTCCAGGAAGTAGATGAAAAATTATAATAAATATAAAAGTATAAGAAAATTAGAGAACCAAACCAAGATGGCAATACATGAATAATAAAATTTCTAGATACAACAGAGAAAACAGAGGAAAGAAAATAATCAGAGAAATAAAAAAAAAGTTTTATAAAACTTAAGGGCAGGAGTTTTCAAAATGGAAAATGGAATAGGTCCTCTGAGGATCCATGGATGAAAATGGACCTAGAGTGTGGTCCATCATCATGAAACTTTAGAACACTGGGAACAAAGAAATAATTCTTTAAGCATCCAGGGAAGGGAGGAAAATAATTAAAACAAAAGACTTGAAGTGCATTGGATTTCTCAATATCTGTAGTAATTCTGAGGAAATGATTCCTTTCTTCCTTCCTATCTTTCTTTTCTTCCTTCCTTTCTTTTTCTCTTTCCCTTCCTTCCTTCCTTCCTTCCTTCCTTCCTTCCTTCCTTC